ATACTGATCCACTACCAGAGGCCCCATAGACTGCAGAGGACACCTCACTGACACCCATGGCTTATATTATTAGTTTGTGTCATCCTTGTAGATCTTTGGACATTTCCCTAGTTACATGTTTCCTCTTTAAACCTATAATGACTCCCTCTATTATGGTATCTCTTTTCTTGCTCTGCTCTATTCTTCCCCTGACTCAACCTTCCTGCTCCCTCATGTCCTTCTCTATCCTCCTCTTCTCCCCTTCTCTTTTTCCCAACTCCCTCCCTTTTCCCTCCTCCCATGCTTCCAATTTTCTCAGGAGATCTTGTTCCTTTCCCCTTCTCCAAGGGACCATATATGTCTCTCCTAGGGTCCTCTTGGTTTCCTAGCTTCTCTGGCAGTGTGGGTTTTAGGCTGGCAATACTTTGCTGTATGTCTAAAATCCATATATGAGTGAGTACATACCATGTTTGTCTTTTTGTGACTGGGTTACCTTGCTTAGGATGGTTTCTTCTAATTCCATCCATTTGGCTTCGAATTTCAAAGTTCCATTGCTTTTTTTCTGCTGAGTAGTACTCCATTGTGTAAATGTACCACATTTTCTCTACATACAACAAGGGTATCTGTTAAACTATGCTCATAGCATTATTTGTAATAGCCAAATCCTGGAAAGAATAAATTCTTAAGTTAAAGAAAACACAAATATATGGTTTAGTGAAATAACAGAGGCAGTGAAGGAAAACAGAATTCAATAAAGAAATACTATATTGAAGAAAATTCTGACAGAGAAGATGGAATTGAAAAATCAATGACTCAATTAGAAAAATCTGGGGGAGAGGAGGGGAATCCTTGCTAGAAGAATGCATCAAGCAGAAAACAAAATATAAGTACTCCAGAGGTTTACAACTAGTCAATGTCCAGAAAATAAGTGACTATATTGTATCTAGTTCTGATAAGTGTGCTTAGGATGAGGGGATGTAATGGGAGGAGTTAGGGGAGAAGATTGTCAGACAGAAGACTGTGATGACAGCAACAAGTTACTGTCTTCAAGATACAACATGGAGTCTCAACAATGTGGTTGAGACAAGACTCATGTATTGATAACAGTAGTTGAAATACTAACATGATGGGAAAATTTCAAAATGTCATACCCCATATGAAGAACTACAGACAACCAATGCTGGCAAGAGAGGAAAATCTATTTTTTTCCTCTTGATACAGAGACTAAAAGGTTAACCAATACCAGGTGGACTTTCTAAACGTATGTGCACATCATCAACATTACATGAACCCCTCCCTAGGTTGTATGCACAACCACAATAAAGAAAAGGGTCTTTGAATTCTAGTGGGAGTGGAGAAGTACTGAGAGAGCTAGCAGGGTGGAAATGATGTAAACACAGTACTCATGTGTGAAATTCTCAAATATTACAAAAAGGAAAATATAAAATATTTGATTTCATAATAAATGAGTGATTTGAGAATAGAAGCTTCCATGGCAAGAAAATAATGCTTGCCTGACATGATTTGACTCCTGGATCTTTGTTAATTATATAAGTTTAAGTTATTCTTTCAATATTAAGAACTCCAAAACATTTTAATATACTTTTATGCAATTATCCAGTATGGCTCTTTCCCAAAACACACTTTACATTTCTGTGTTCTTCAGTTTAAGCTCTTTTAGTAGAATTACACAAAAACATTAATAAAATGACAATCATGGATATGAAACTTCTGAAGTTTGTCAGACTCCAGGTTCATTGATACTGTGGTTTTTGTTTTCATAGATGACAGCTTAGTTAGTTCCCTTCTGGCCTTGCCCAGGAGATTCCAATGTCATCTCAAGCCTGAGACATCTCATAGCTCCAAAGTCCTTATGACATAGACAATCCCACATTTTAGAATCTATCATGTATAACAATAGTTTCTGTATTGCTTTGATACTTTAAAAGCCATGAACAGCAGAAATTCTACACAAACAGTCTTATACCAGAAGACTTTGGTCTGAACATAGCTGTTAATGAAGAATTTTCTCTCTTCTCCGTCTATTTAGCCAACTTGTCTGTGATGACTTTGCTCTTTGGCAAAGTCTCCAGTAAACGGGGCGTAGTACCCTGGTTTGCAAGATCAACAGCCCCAGCGATAATTCAGTTCTCTGTCCCATCACTTCTGACATTTCCTAACCTCATTTAGTTTCTCATGTTTCTTGTAACAATTTATCATGTATTTGTGGGTATCTTAATACAACAGAGATTCAGTATCCTCCACACTAGGAGGCTAGAAGTGCAATATGAAAAGTTGTCTCCGCCCTGACTATCAGTTGGTTCCAGAAGAAATCCTCCCTTGCTTTTCTTGCTGTTGTGACTCCTTTTCAGTGGCAGCAGAATTTCATCTCTGACTGTTGTCAAATGTCTTTCTTCCCTGTGTGTCAGTGTTCTCATTTCCCTACTCTTAGCATCTGTTCTATTCCAGAATGACTTCATTACAATTTTATAATATGTACAAATATTTTATCTAGAAATAAAGTCACATTCCATGGTTCTGAATAGAAAAGGAATTTTAGGCGAATGCGGTTCTCAGAACATTATGCATCACTACTTCTCAAAATAGCTAAAATTCTCCAATTCAGTTTTCAGGTTATATTTCACCTGCTCAGAAAGCTCTTCCCATCTTGGGGGAGGTCTCTCTTCTTAGTCACTATAGTAGTGGGCTGCCTTCTGTGTAGATAGCATAACACATAATTATTTACTTTCTTTCCTTTAGAAGAACACAATCTCCCTGTGCTTATTGGTTTATTTATGGGTTTACCCTCATTGTGCAACATTTTTTTTCAATGCGTGGTAGAATCTTGGTACAACTCATGTAGGACTAAATGAATGGATGAACGAATGAATGAAAGTAGAGTATAAAGAAAGGATCTCCTAAAATCCCAATTTTATTACATTTTCATTTTATTCGAAAAACTAACACTGTTTTGTATATCTTTTTGCTGGTATCTGTGTTGATATTTGTAAAAAGATATTGATATGCTTTTATGTGTGAGTTATAGGTAACAAAAATAAAAGTGAAAACAAGTGGAATTCATTAACTTCCTTCTATAAGCTTACAATTTAATGCAGAAGAAGCAGTCTCCATGGGAGGAAATACAATCACCCTTCACTTTTAGCCTAATGGTGATACTACTCCTCAGCTTCTACATATTCAAAGCAGCGCAAAGATTTCCCTCACATGTTGTTTGCTTCCTGCAGAATCCACACCGGTTTGAAGTAACAGAGATGTCTCAAAGGGTATATGGTGTATTTGACAAATATTAGTTGAATAAATAAGTGGAGCATTTGTAGGTGCCTGTAATAAAAATTACAGCCATGGAAAAATCATTATCTTTAAGAAGAGGCACAGTGTTTTCTTGTGGTGTTTAAACCAGTAAGAACCATTAATGCCCATCGTGTGTGAGGTGTGATACTCTGGAAACCCAGTCAGACTGGTTGGCATGAGGCAAAATCTGCCGTGTTTAAATGTGTGCTTAAAAGAAGAAAGAAGAGAAAACAGTCTGGGCTCTTCTGTTTTGACTGTGGGACATCCCATATTTGCCTTCAAAGAGGGAAGGATAAGTAACTTTCGTTTTCTTCATTTACTAAATTCTTCATTTTGATGAGATAGAAAGGACTTGAAAGTATGCTAGGGAAAACACTGTATGAAAATAGTAGGTTTCACATGATCCTATAGATGAGATTGCATTCGGGTATTTTAAATACACATCTTTTTGTCTTCTACTAGATAAGGGAAGTGAATTTGACTTTTTGACATACTGTTAAATACGCCTCATGACATTTTGAGGCATGATGTAGGAGATTTTTTGGCAAGGAGCCTGAGGCTCTATTACTAATTTATCAGTGTCACAATGCACACCCCACTTGCTTCCTGTAATTCTCTTGCTCTTCTCATCTTGGACCTTTACATTTAAGCACCTGTCTTGAGATGAATAATTTCAGTCATCACTGTCCAGGAACCCCTTGAAAATTCCTTTGTTGGTCACCACACGCTGTCTTCTGATTATGTGACCACATTAGTAACAGGCTTCCATTGTGTCCCAGAAAGCCTCCTCCCCTCTCTGCTTGTGTGTTTCCTGTGAATCGTTTCTTCTTGAGTTTTGACATGATCCTCAACAGTCACATAGCCAATGTTTTTCTTCTCACAATTGGAAGAGGAGGAGGGATTGGGTTTTTCCTCCCTGCCCTTTCTGATTTGCTCAAATCTGTTAGCTTGTTCTGAGAGGAATCGTCCCGATGCTTGTCACAAGCACTGTCAATTAGGTTAATAGACAGGCAGGCAGGGCCCTGGCACGGAACTGTGTCATTTGCCAGTGCCTGCAGAACGAAAGCTGGAGAGGCAGGATCTGTCTGACTCAGGGCTTATCCTTTGTGATATTCTGCATTGTGATTTTTGACAAAGGAAGGAAGGAATTACGACAAAACAAAGGAAGGGAGAATTTATTTTTCTTCCACAAGCCAATACCTGGTTCCTATTGCCAAGATGGCAACTGGCTTATAAGACAAATATAATTCAAGTAATGTATCATTTTAAATTCGATTTGGAAGATAATATATCTTGGGAGTATATTTTTCTTTGATATAAAAATATGAACATGAGAAAAATAGAAATAGTGAGATAGGAGTCTCCCAATGCAAACAATTCCCATTACTTGTTTGGGTTCACACAATTAAATGTCAGTATTTACTACACTGGGCTTACTGAAATTTATGCATTTTGAAAGTAGGTATGCTGAATACAAATTACTGGTTATAATAAGGAACATGTGAGGTGATTTCCTGTAAAACATGATATACACAAGATCTGTGAATATAAATTGGGCCCCCTAATTATTACATGGCAAAGGTAGTGCTTAGGGCCACCTTGCCTTTTGTCATCATCAAACAAGCTGAAGGCACAAAATATCAAATTATCACAACACACACACACACACTTCAATGTGAAGATGCTTTATCAACAGAGCCCAGCACATAACACATAGCACAGCATGCAGAAATGTCTACAAGGAACATGCTTCAACTGAGCTGCTCCTTACATTATTAATATTGTGAAAACATTGAGCATGAAAATGTCTGAAAATTACCTTCAAGGACAAACAATAAATGTATGTTCAAGTTATTCAATACACAACCTCAATCAACACCTCTCCTGAAGGTAAAACATCTTCTTGGGGAATGAGACTTGCAAGACACTGTAGATTTTCCAACTGCTGACCCCAGGAAGTACTGGGACTTCACACACTCCTGCCCATAAGGTACCTTGTATATGTGAGCAGAGTAGATCTTCAGCACAGGGGTTCTGTACTCTGTGAACATATTTGGAAAACTCAAAGGTTAGGATCATTTTATGCAGAGTTAATCTGAGCAGACTATTTGCTGCTTCTTGGTTCAGAAGTTATCACAGTGAGAGAACTCTAAGAATGCATCTGGTATGTTGGACGTGACAGAATTAACATCATATCAAAAGGAAAAGAGAACTTAGTGGAGACAGAAAACCTCAGCAGACTTAAATGTTGTATTATGTATTTTGCTGTTTGATTTAAAACACGAGTTAAAGCTGCATTTTGTATTTTAATAGTGATATTCGCTGTTTATGTTGTTATAGACATAATAATGCTTAGGTATTTTTTAAATGAAGAACCCTATTTTGCTGTGATTTAACTAAAAATGCCAACTTCCTCTGTAGTTATATTTATTTGTTCTAATAACAAGAGAAAACTCTCAGTGTGTTCTTTTGTGTTAGAAACACCGACTTCTGAAGGCACACTGTATTTCTCCACTTGGTAGCTCAGCAGCTCTCTCCTTCATTCTCCCTGTATCCTATCATGTTTACGTCATGGCAGACACACCATTCATACCTGGAAGACAGTTAAGACTTCAGCCTCACGGGACAGCAGGAAAAATCCATAGGCTAAAATTCAGACAACTGTCAAAGTGTTTATAAGTTGTGGTATGTGTGTGTTTGGGATTTCAAGATTGAATCAACAGCTTCAGACATCTTAGGGACATGTGACTACAGAGATATGTAAGCAGAAGAATTCTTTCCAGTGGGAAAAATAGCCATCACCTGAGATCATCATACTCTCTAGCAATAGTATGACATTCCCGCTGCTGTTCTCTTTTTCACTCTCACTCAGCTCTATAATTCCCTTTTCAATGAATTGGAATATACTCTCATAAAATATTCTATTAACAGAAAATCCCTTGATCTTCCATTCCTGTCAAGATTCTGCTTAATTTTTCTCTTCTCCTTTATATTATGATGATTCCAAACTAATCTCTGTATTTGTACCATTTAGTTCTCTTGATCTGTAGCTTGTTACTCACTCCCAACATGCTTAAGCTTTCTTGAAGCAAGAGAAAACAGTATTTGTCTAAGGATAAGGCTGTTTTTGTTTCTGTTAAATTGTAGGCATTCCTTATATATTTTTGGACATTAACTTTGTGTCAACTGATATTTTACACGCATTTTCTTCCATTCCTTAGGTTGCTTTCTCATCCTGTTAATCCCTTTCACGGAAGATGGTTATTAGTTTGATGCAGTCTCACTTGTCTGTTTTCACTTTTGTTTTTTAGCATTTGGGGCCATATCCAAATCAACCATGAGCAAGGCCAATGTCAAGAAACCTTTCTCCTATTTCCTTGTAGGAGTTTTGCTTTTTCTGACCTAATATTTAAATCTTTAATTCATTTTGTCTTGATTTTTATGCATAACGTGTCCAATTTCATTATTTTACATGTGGATATCCAGTTTCCCCAGAACTATTAACTGATGAGATTTCTCATTCTCCCTTGTGTATTCTTGGTGCTCTTGTTCAACATTTGTTGGTCACATACATTTGTTACACACAGCTGATTATAGATGAGTAAATGTGAGTTTATTTCTAGACTTTCTGCATGGTTTGTCTGTCTTTACTCTGGTAACAAACTATTTGGATTACTGCAACTCTGTAGAGAATCAACTTGGCTCTTCTTTGACAAGAGTATGAAGCTACTCATTCTTTCTTGGTTCTGTGTGAATTTTTAAAGTGTCTTCCTTATCTCTGTACAAATGGCAATCAGATTTTATGTTTTAAAACTTAATTTATTTGCAGTGAGTGAACATAAAAGCTCCCCCATGCTGGACAGCTATTCTGCAACTGAGTGTCAGTCCTCAGTTTTCACAGGCACTGCATTAGCTCTGCACATCATCTGGAGTAATATGGGAATTTTAACAATATTAGTTCTTCATGAATACAGGATATTGTCTTCAATTTATAGATTATTTAAACTTAGGACCGTTTTATGTTTTTAGTTTGAAGATCTTTTACCTTTCCATTTAAATTTATTTGTAAATATTTGATGTATTTTTAATATCATAAGTGTGTTTGCTTTTCATCCCTTTCAGATAACATATATCATTAATATATGAGGCAACTAAATATTATATATATAGATTTTGTATATTGTAACTTTACTATTAGTTGCAAATGTTTATTCTAAAACAGATATTTTTTTAGTGTGGAGTCTTTAGAAATATAAATTCATGTTAATTCCAAACAAATAATTTTATTTTTCTTTCTGACTTTTGTGTCATTAATTTTTCTGTGTGATTCTTTGTGTGATTGCTAAAGCTTAGAGTACTGTGTTGAACAAATATGGTAAGAGTGGGCAACTCTGCTTTTACCATATCTTAAAGAGAAAGCTTTTGTTCTTTTCACATTGATTATCATATCAGCTTGGTATCTTCAGAAGTGGTCCTTAAATATGTCCAACAAATATCCTTCCATAATGAATACTGAGAATGTAATCATGAAAGGGTGCTGGAATCCATCAAAAACTTTTGCTCCATTTACTGAGATGTTGATATACTTTCTATTTTTACTCTGTTAGTGTGGTGTATCATATTGACTAATTTGTGTATGTTAAGCCTACGTGTTTCTAGGGATTAAGTCCATTTTGTCAGGACAGGTAATCCATTTGATATGTTGCTGAATTTGGCTTGCTACTATCTTACTGAGAAAGCTTGCATTTATTTTTGGGTTACTGGATTCCAGCTTTCCTGTGGTGTCTTTATATGGCTTCAGTAGCAGAGTGATTTGAGTCTCATGAAACGAGGTTAGAAATATTTGTGTTACTTTGGGAGTAGAGTAACAAAACTTCCAGAAGATAGAAAATTGATTATTTTTAAAAATATTTAGTAGAGTATTCCCATGAAATTATTGGGTTACAGCTTTTTTCCTTCCCTTCCTTTTTTCCTTTCTTTTTCCTTCCTTTCCCCTTCCTTTTTCCTCCCTCTTTTTCCTCCCTTTTTCCTCCCTTTTCCCCTCCCTTTTCCCTCCCTTCCCTCTCTTCCCTCCCTTCCCTCCCTCCCTCTGTCCCTTCCTTCATTCTTGTTTTTCTTCTCACTATTACTGATTTCATATCTCTTTTTATGAATTTGTTCAGGTTTTCTATTTCTTTATGATCCGAAAATCCTGGTTTGTTGCTGTGGTAGACCTGACCATGATGTGTTACAAAAACTCTTCCCACCAGCTTGGTCCCCATGCTGTATCAGTCCCAAAGAACACACTGACTCTATTAGTTATGATGCTGTTGACCAGTATCTAGGGCTTCTTATTGGCCAGCGCTGTCTTAAGTATTAACCTATAACAACTAATATCCATATTTCTGCAAGGTTTTATCTTACTGAGAACGCCAGTCTCATTCACCCTCTCCTCCTGGGATCACATGGTGACTAATAAGAGAAACATATGTATAGAATACTTCCACCATCATTCCCTCTTTTCTGTCTAAATAAAAAGAAAGGCTTTAACTTTATCTTAGTTAAATTATATATAACAAAACAGTTATTAAGTAAGAACTATAGTTACAATATTTAGTACATCAACATTTAGCAAGATTTAAAGAAAATATTCTATTATCTATCATATCTTTGTGAGTCTAAAGTCTTATATGTAACTTATCTTTTATCATAACTAAGGAAAGCTATAACCATGACTATCTGTCTTCAGCTCCATCAAAGACCACAGAAGGATAATATATAAACTCTATAACAGACAGAGACAGCTCTCTGCTTGGTCAGTCACCAGAAGTTCTTTTGTAATGTCCCATCTTGTTCCAGCAGTCACTTTCCTGTGGGTCCTGCATGTCCATTTTATTCAGCATTTCTTGCCCAAATGGCTAGTCTTGCCATGTTGGAAGAATACGAGTTTCTACTACGTTCATCTTCCCTTCTGACACAGTTGCTGTGTCAGGGGCAGTTGTCTCATTTCCAAGAAAAACCCTAAACCATTTTAAATGCCATATTCTTTAGGTCTTTGAAAGGTTTGAAGAATGCCTATTGAAATATATCTCTGTATATCTAGAAAACCTAACTATAAGTTTGGACTATTGTAGGTAACTATCTATAATCTGTATTTAATTATACATTACATTATAAAATGCGCTATACAAACACAATTCCTTAACAAGAGGAGAAATATTCATATCAAAAAATTGACCTTAAATTTGTATCAATAAATGGAAAGCCATTCCAATACAAAATATTCATTTCTTTATGATCCCAAAATCCTGGTGTGTTGCTGTGATAGACCTGGCCATCATGTTTTATGGGAGAATGAAAGTGACATTTGAACTTTGGGCTGGAAAACTTAAGTGCTTAGAGCTTCATGAGCTGAGGGCAATGTAGATGGTGGAAGTCTAGTCGTAGTTTCAGAAAAACATTTGCAAGACTTTTAAAGGCTCTATCAGAGATATTTAAGAGATGTTCTTAATTAAGTGTCTGTGTTTTTTGCTTAACTGGGTCTGAAGAATCAGCTATGAGTAACAAGAGACCGGAACCATTGAAGGGAAAACTTCTGTTTTCTGGGACAGTCAGTGGTGGCTACCTAGGGCTGAAAAGTTAACTGTGATTATTAAAAAGCAGCATTGGTGAGGGCAACTCTTCTGCAAAATATTTCCCCAGATCAGCTGCAGTTTTTGTTTCTGTGTAGTCTCCCGGATTGAAATGGCCATGGAGAGAAGGTAGGGTGCTAAGGCTTGGTGCTGTGGGAGGCCAGGAAAAGTCACCAGTAAGGTATGGCCTTAGGTACAGTAAAGACCCAGGGTATTGGGGTGCCAGGTCCGTGGGATATACAAAAGGATGGGGAAGGTATAGAATGAAGGTAGCCCACACCAGTGAGATGAGCTGTGGTCTGAGGATAGCAGAGATAAAGAAGTAAAGTTACCTAAGCCCTCAGAGCCCAGAAGGTGAGGGGTCCCAGACAGCCTACACAGAACTGTTTATACCGTTGGAGTTTGGTTTTGCTTAAATATGATTGCTTTTGTGATCTGACCATTCCATTTGTAGTAAGAAAGTATACAGCTTGCATTTGATTTTTACAGGAGCTTCAGTTAAAAGACTGGATATTTAAGGACATATTGGTCTTCAAAAGTGTTGAAAAATTTAAAAACAACAGGACTTTTAATATTATGATATTTAACAGAAGATCTTGGGGACAAACAAGAAAGGGAAGGTTATGGAGTAAATTGATAAGCTGATGTATCAAAGCTGACAAAATATCATAGTAGATGGCCAACACAAAATGAACTTGATGTCTTACAGTACTTTGTTTTTTCCCTTAAAGGCATATTATAGTTTCTGATTTTGTGTTATTATGGAACTTCTGTGTGTGTATGAATGTGTTTATATCTGTGTCTATTTTTGGATGCCAGATTTCTAATGAGGGAAAAAAGAAAAGGTGGCTGTGTGAGTGGGGAGATCTGGGAAAAGTTGAGGGAGGGGACCCATTTCATACACTGTATGAAAAAACAGTCTATTTGAATACAAAGAGGAAATACCATAGTTAGCTTAAGTTTCAGCTTGACAGCTGGAAAGAGGGAGTCTCAGCTGAGGTTTTGCCTCCATCCGGTTGACCTGTGGACATATCTATGGGGCATTTTCATGATGATGTGTGAGGGCTCAATTCACAGTGGGCAGTGCCATCCTGGGAAGGAGGGCATGTGCTATATAAGAAATGTGATTTTGACACTGATTGTATTAAATAAATACAGCAAAAGGAGGAAAACTGACATCTTAAAAAGTTTGAATCTTTTAATTCATGACCATGATAATATGTTATCATTCAATAACTAATGTTTCAGAATTTTCAATGTATTGCCAATTTTGCAAATTATTGGTTATATATATACATATGTGTGTGTGTGTGTGTGTGTGTATGTGTGTGTGATTGTGATGGTTTTGGTGTTATTGTAAGTGATAATTGGTGTAAAATTCATTTCTACCAATTTATGAACACTTTATTTTTGTATGTTAACCATAAACTCTGAGATCCTGTGCAATGGAATTATTACATACAGAGCAGATTTTCATATTTTGATATTTTTTAAAACTTAAGTGAAATGTTAGCCATGAAAAATATAAAAAATATAGTTTTCTTCTTTTTCTTTTTTTTCAAGATGGGTTACTCTGTGTAGCTTTGGAGCCTGTCCTAGTACACAATCTGTCAAACAGGTTGGCTTCAAAATCACATAGATCTGCCTGTCTCTGCCTCCCAAGTTCTGGGATTAAAGGCATAAGCCACCAAGGCTCAGCTAGTTTTATTTTCAAAGGAAACTTTTATTGTGCTTTATTTTAATGGTTTAGTTGTCCTATATGATACTAAAAAGAGACATTAAAACAGATTGCCTGTTATCAGGGAGAAAACTACATTTTTTCAATATTTAATAAGGTGTTATTGCAGGTTTTTCACAGATGCTTTTTTAACATCAAGTAAATTTAACTATGCTGGATTTCTTAGTGTGAGTCTCTCTGCGTGTTTTGATTGTGAATATATGCAAAATTTTGTCAAATGATTTTGTTTACATCATTTAAGTAATTGTACTGATCTCATTTTTATTCTGTTGAAATAATGAATTCTGTATTTTTAAATGTCAAATGAAACTCCTGTATTAAATTTCATTTAGTCATTATGTTAGGATTTTTAAAAGAAGAAGAACCAACAGGAGATATGTGCAGAGATTCATAGTAAGATTATACAGTCTGAGAAGTCTTTCACTTGTTTATGACCTAAAGCAATGATGGTGTAACTCTAAAAGGTAGAGGGTTAATGGCATAAGAGCAGGAGAGACTAACCTATCAGTTCAATAAGTCATTCTAAGAGAATGTGTTACAGCCCACTCTGGTGTTACCCACCTATGGTGGGGGAAGGGCCATCTGTTCCTTACCTCACACTTCAAATGCCCTTCTGGGACTCTTCTCTAACTCCCATCACACGCTGGATCATTGAACCAGATACTGGTGGTAACTCAGCCTAGTCAAACAAGACATAAAATTACACATCATAGTCATTAACTGTTCAAGTTTTAGATAAAGTTGGAGTTCTGTTGTTAGAATGTAGTTAAAGGTTACATCTGTAGTCGTCATGGAAACTTTCATCTGTAACTTCTCTCCTTGGAATATTTATCATCTAGTGTATGTGCTTATGGATTGCTGGCCTTTGTGAATTTCTCAGAAGCATTTATATAAAAATGATGGGCATGGCCTGGTGGTGCAAGTCTTTAATCCCAGCACTCAGGAGACAGAGGCAGGCAGATCTCTGTGAGTTCGAGGCCAGGCTGGTCTACAGAGCGAGTTCCAGGACAGCCTCCAAAACAATACAGAGAAACTCTGTCGAAAAACAAAAACAAACAAACAAAATTGATGGGCATGAGAGTGGGATAGCTGGCCATGCCCCCTTGTTTGTCATGTGCTGAGGTGGGTAAGGGAAAGATACTCCCCTTGCCCCTGCCACCTGTAGCAGGTGAGGGAGCTGACACCCCCCCCCCTTTACCAGCTGCAGCACCTGGAAAAGCAGACCTTTGACTAGCATAGTAGAATTGGCCCTGTTTTCAGGAGTGCGGGTGAACTGGCACCTAGAACATGAACTTGGAATATTTGGCCTTGCCTCTCATCGGCCATAAGATGGTGTGGGTGAGGGAGAGAAATCCCTTGTACCACCTTCCCCTTGCCGTTTTGACGGTTGAAAGAGCTGGCCCTGAGGTAGTAAGAATGGAAGAACTGTCCTTGTCCCTCACCAGCTGCAGCACCCTGGAGTGACCCTCGCTCCTCACCTGGATAATGAAATAGAGCATGCCCTGTTGATCTAGATGGGGATGAGCTGACCCTGAGGGTATGAAAGCAGGAGAACTGGCCCTCTATCTTGTTCTTTGTTGCAAAGGGTGAACTAATCAGGGAAACGCTGGAGAGCTCACCCTGGTGGCGAGGATGGGGAAAAGCTGGCAAGTGGACCACCCCTACAACTTCCCAGGCCCAGAACCAGGGTTGAGTTGGCTCATCCCAACATACACTCCATCCATGCTCTGCTGGAGCACATAAAGGGGCCTCATCCTGAAGACCCAAAGTTCTCAGTGACACACAAGTCAACAAAAGAATATCAAAGAGGAGTCCCTGTGAGTGCCCAGTATCAATGGTGTAGCAGAGGTCTAGAAACTAACCAATGACTCTTTGCAATAAACACTCATAAGTAAAGATAAAAAGATATACTATATGACTCACTGTGTTCACACTATAGTTTCCATGATACTTTCTTTCTTTTTTTTTTTTCTTTTCTTGAATTTCATTTCGTATTGTTTTGGTAGGAAGGGTACAAGGGCAGAAGGTGGTTACAAAGGGACAGGGAAATGAAAGGGATAAAGATGCATGCTGTGAAAGATACAAAGAATAAATAAAAGGAAAGTTTAAAAAGAAAAAAGAAAATGGTGTTATTCTATCTTTAAACGCTTGGCAAAATTCACCAGTGAAGTCCCACTTTTCTTTCTAAGAAGGTTTGACATTGACTTTGACTTCTCTAATACATTATCAAGTTTTTTTTGCTGAATATTGAAGTTTTACTTTGTCAAAGAAATTTCTTCAGTCCCCATGTTGTTGAAATTATTGGTATGAACTTTTGACAATAGTAGCTTACTGTCTTTCTTCGCACTCTTGGTACAGTTGTTTTTTCTTCTCAACAACCTTCCATGCTTCCCTTCCAGTTCCTATGATTAGCCATGATCCAGAATTTTCATATTTTTCTTGACTTGTTTCAGAGAGACCTCCTTCCTGTAACGTTTATTAGGACATATTATTATATTCTATTTTATCATTATTGTTAATTTAACACCCTACCTACTTTAGAAATGAATCTTTTGTATATAAGTATAAGTGCTGGCTAATTTTCTATCAACTTGACATAAGTTGGAGTCAACTGAAACAAAGGGATCTCAATTGAGAAAATGCCTCCTTAAGATTAGGCTGCAGTCACTCATATATGGATTTTAGACATATATGACATATGGGGAGTGCCAGCCTAAAAACCACTGCCAGATAGTCTGGGAAACAGGGAGGATCATAAGAGAGATATGCATGGTACCCCAGAGAAGGGGAATGGGGCAAGATCTCCTGAGCTGATTGGGAGCATGGGGGGAGGGGAGAGGGAGATGAGAAAAACAGAGGGGGAAAAGAGGAGGGGAGAGGAGGACATGGGGGAGCAGGAATGTTGAGTCAGGGGAAGAATAAAGGAGAGCAGGATGAGAGATACCATAATAGAGGGAGTGATTATAGGTTTGAGGAGAGACCTGGCACTAGTGAGATTTCCAGTGATCTACAAGGATGATACCAAATGGCAATCTAAGCAATAGTAGAGAGGCTATGTTAAATGTCCTTTCCCGATATTGAGATTGATGACTACCTTATATGCCATCCTAGAACCTCTATCCAGTGGTTGATGGAAGCAGAGGCAGACAACCACAGCTAAACACTGAACTGAACTCCTTGAACCCAGTGACCGAGAGGGAGGAGTTATGAGCAAAGGGGTCAAGACCAGGTTGGTGAAACCTACAGAGACAGTTGACCTAAACAAGGGGGAGCTAATAGACCCCAGACTGATGGCTGAGAGGTCAGGATGGGACTGATTCAGACCCCTGAATGTGGGTGTGAGTGAGGAGGCATAGGAAATCTATGGGGTCTTGGGTAGTAGATCAGTATTTATCCCTGGCATACAAATGGACTTTGGGTGCCCATCCCACATTGATGGGTGCTCTCTCAGCATGAATACATGGGGGAGGACTTAGGCTCTGCCCTGGATGAAATGACAAACTGTGAAGATTCCCCCATGGAGGGCCTCACTCTCCCTAGGGAGCAGAGTGGGCATTGGGGGGCTGGGGAAATTAGTGGGGGTGCAGGAGACCAGGGAGGGAGCTGGACTTAACATGTGAAGCAAGCTTGTTTCTAGTTTTAAAAAAAGATAAGAAAAAGAAAAGAAAAGAAAAAAACGAAAAAAAAAAAAAAAGATTAGGCTGCAGGCAAGTGCATAGAGATTTTTGTGGGACAGGCCCAGGCCATTGTGGGTGACGCCACCCCTGGGCTGGTGGTCCTGGCTTCTACACGAAAGCAACCTGAACAAGGAGTTACCATATTGATTGGTTGTATCTTTGCTCTTATTACTGGACCTCTTGACTAGAAATTTATCAGCTTTGTTAATCTCAAAGAACTAGACTATGGTTTCATTCATTATTTCCCATTTTCTCTTTCATGAAATTGTTCTTTGTGTTTTTCTTTCTTCACATGACACTGAATTTTATTTCACCTTATTAATCTCATTCCTCAAGTCAAAAGTTTAGATAATCAATTTTTGAATATTTATTGTTTTATGTATATGGAACTTTGGTTTTTGACAATTTCATATATGTATAACATGTCTTCTGGTTACTGTAACATGCCCTCCCCTTTAATCTCCCCTCAACTCATGTGACTCTCTCCTTACCTATAATTCCTTTTCTCACAACCATGTCTTTCTTTTTACCTTTTATATTGTGAGGCCCAATGAATTGTGCATTGGAGACTGGTAAGCTACTCAACGTGTACATAACTGATAATAATAACTATCCCTTCCTCAGCAATCATCAGTAGCCTGTAGGGCCTCCCTGGTCTATTAGTGACTTCTGTTACTCCCAGTTTTCTGTAGGCATGGCAGGCATCCACAGCTGCTCTGAGGTCCTGATGGCATTGGCTGTGCCATGCTCAGGCGAAAGCATCACACATTCCTTCTCCTTGTCTTCTAAGTCTTATATTCTTTTTTTACTTCTTCTGAAGTGATTACTGAGTCTTAGATAGGATGGAAGGAAAAATCTTTGTGTGAAGTACACTTTGTCAGGTATTATTATAGTCATCAAGATATATTCTCTTTCATTACTGAAACATATTACATAGTGAAAATCACCCATATTCAGTTGTTTCTATTTTTGTGGTACACATTAATAGTTGTCAGCTTCCACTACAATGAAGATGTAAAACCATTTTATCTCTCCAATGAAATCTCTGGAGGTTTTATCTAATTTTATTATGAGTAACCTCTTTATTTTATTTATTTATTTATTTATTTTTCAGTTTAAATTTAGATAAGAAACAAGGTTGCTTCACAAGTCAGTTCCAGGTCCCTCTCCCTTTCCCTCCCCTCCTCCCATGCCCCCCAACCCCGTATTATCCCCTCATTCCCCCAGGGAGGGTGAGGCCCTCCATGGGGGTGTCCATAGTCTGTCATTTCATATAGGGCAGGGCCTAGACCCTTCCCCAAGAGTTCAGGGTGAGAGTGCACCTCACATTGTTCGATGGGAGTCCAAAGTCCGTGTGTATACTCGGGATGGGTATTGATCTGCTGCCCAAGGCTCAATAGATTACCTAGGCCTCCTCACTGACACTCACATTCAGGGGGTCTTCATCAGTCCCATGCTGGATTCCCAGGCTGATGCCTGGGATTCAAGAGTTAACCTTTGTCAGGTCAGCTGTTTCTGGGGGTTAAACCAGTCCAGTCTTAATCCCTTTGGTCATCAGTCCTCCTTCTCTGTTACTGGCTTTCTTGAGTTCAGCTCAGTACTTACCCGAGGGAGTCTGCCTCTTCTTCGATTAACCTCTTCTGTACATCAACTAGACTGTAGTAACAATTGGTCAAGTATTTTGCCCCTACAGCTTGTCTTTTCTATGTGGTTCTCCAAATGAAATTGTTCATATGTCACCCTTTCATGCTACCTAAACTTCTTACCATGCTGTTGCTTGATTAGTAGCTTATTTTTTACCGAGAATTACACTGTTACATAGTTACTTGAAACACCACTAATCCCCAGCTTTCCAATAGTGCTGTTTCTACACCCTTGACCATTTGACCACACTGCTAGCCTCTGGATAGATCTGCACCTCTACCTAGGTCTTATTGAAAACAAATGATTAAATAGCTACACTCCCTGACATTCTGATCAATGCAAACTTTTCTCAACCTCAAGTATTGTTTCTGAATGACTGCACTACTACAGCTGTTTATTTTAGAGGTCTGCTGATTATCATGGAGAAGTATCTGAAACTGATTCTGACAACTTTACTCTTTAGTCAACTGGTTATAACAAATTTCCCATGAGGTCACAGTCATGGGCTGAGAGTCAAGAGACTAAGAGTCTAACAAGAACAGCAGCCATGAAATTCTGGGCTACTTTCTCATGTAAAATATTTGTGCCTTCAAATCTGTGCATGCCTCATTTCATGCGAACCACACTGTTGATGAAGTACAGTGCCTATGGTTTGGTGGATCAGATAACATTCACATTATTACAGGCAATTCACATTTGCATGAAAACTTGGTCCCTTGTCATCAACTTCTTTAGTTTTTTTCTTAATAGGACCAAGTACCAAGTTAGAAATTATTCTTGAAAAATAGTGAAGTCTCCAAAGGGCTATGTTAAGCTTGATTTTCAAAGTGACTGGAATAAGAAATAACTAGGGCATGAGAAGGCCCATCTTGGGGTGTGTTTATGACAGCACTCTTATGAGCTGGGATCTAGGAAGAAAGACAGCCAGAAGAATAACAGCATTCCTCTTTCTTCACTTCTCCATGGGTTCATATGTGGGAAGCCTGCAGCTGTTCCAGCTGTGAAGGACTCCTAGACTCAGGTCTTCCCCACCAAGGTGGGCTGGCTCTTGTCTTAGTTTAGGTATCTATTGGTGTGAAAAAACATCATGACAGGATAACTCTTATAAAGGAAAACCTTTAATTGGGCCTGGCTTACAGGCTTCAAAGGCTTAGTTCATTATCATCAAGCATGGTGGCTTGAAGGCAGACATGGTGCTGGAGAAGGGGGTAAGAGTTCTGTAACTGGATCAGCAGGCATCAGGGAGAAAGACTGTCACTGAGCCTGGTTTGAGCACTTGAAACCTCAAAGCACACTCCTCAGTGACACACTTCATTCACAATGCTGCACCTGATGCAACGAGGCCACACCTCCTAATAATGTCACTGCCTGTGAGCCTCTGGGGCCATTTTCATTCAGACCACCACAGTATTCAAACCATGAACCACAGTAAATCCTTTCTCCCATATCTTGTACTTTTTAAGAATATGGTTGCACATAGAAGTAATTAATGCGATAGCTTTGCTCCAAAACTGTAAATGTCGCCATGGTGTTCAGCTATGCCCATCCTTCTCTATGTTTCTTCAGAGAAAATACTGAGTGCTGTACCTCCATTAAATGAGCCCCATTTCTGGGAGACACACGAGTCCTCTGACAGCTCACTGTAGCTTGAAGTCTCTTCGATGGCCTTCCTGAACATTCCTTTGACTGCCTGGCAGTCCAGGCCACTTCTACCATCCCCACCCATTGATCAGAATGGCCTCAAACACTGACTGACTATTTTCCCTGGTCCCTCCTGTTTCCCTTCACATAACATCTAAGAAATCCTCAGCTATTTAGTTCTGTCATTGAATCTGCTCTCAACTGCCCCCTCTTAGTTCAAGTAACTGTTTTCCTTGTCTGAAAAACGGTTAGCTGTTAGCCTCCTAACTACTTCACTTCCTATGTTTCTGCTGTCATTCTTGAAATATCTTCATTGATATTTGTGATCTATAATACTGAGGACTTTAGGTTGAAAACTTGTTGCATAGTCATGAAATGAGAGATCTTCTCCAGATGTATAAATTTATATGCAATTATTAGGAGAATTCTGAGGGTTTTGTTAATAAGTAAGTTACTTCTGGAAAATACACAAAAATTAAATAAAAGATGGAGTGCATTTCTTTC